TCTCTTTGAAGGTGAGTAAACTTCTGTGAATCACATCTCTATGTCCTTAGCTGCCCAGTTGAATTGCTCACTGGAGAACATTGTGCAGGCTGGTATGTTGAACTCTCCCAATACTTTTATCTCACATTATTTGCATGATTTGGCAGTTTCTTCCTCTGAGGTTTTCATCTACCCCCTGTAGCTATCTTGACCAAATCAGCCAGATTATAAGGAGAGGTGAGTATTTTCATTACTCCTCTTGTCTCTTTACTGAGCCCCTTACCTCTTTTTCACTGGATCCCACTCTGTGGCAAGTGTTGCCCAGACAAGTGTGCTTTATCAAACCAATTTCACACTAGCAACCAGAACTCAATATACTTTATCTAGGTTTTAACAGGCTCTGTAGAAATAAAGTGTTCTATAAGACCACCTAGAGGCTGACTGGGTGGTATTACTGTAATATGCTGGGCTGCCACTCATGGACTATCATGAGTAAAGCATAATGGGATCATGCCCGTGCCTGCCGATCACTGGATTGAATAAATTGGGGTTGGTTTGCTTTTAAAAATTTAGGGAACTTGGTTTCCCTACTACACTGTTTCCAGAGCATTGTTCCTGAGGACTCTCCAGCATGCATTACCCCCCAGATTCTACTAGTGGAGCTAGGGAGTTCTTACCACACTCAGTTTCCAGTCACAGGGGTGGTGGACAGAGGCTTTTCCTCCACTCTTGGAGAAGAGGGTGAAGTTGGGAGCCCTCCTACTCGGGTCCCTGGATGTTTTTTTTTTTCCAGATGTCGGTAGGATAGGCACCAGCCTATGCAGGAGCCTACTTGTAATACCGGTTCAGATTTGACACTCGGCTATGTGGTTGGTTTGAGCATGACCCTTCTTTGGCTACAGGTTGGAATCCACTCATAAGTATATATATTGTGGTCCAATTTTCCTAGCCACCAACGTGGGATATATGGACTGTGGCCATATACTTCAAACATCGACTAGTGGAGCCCCAGCTGTCAGGTTGGGGCCTGGCCAATTGTGATGATAAATCATGTAAAATTTCACTCAGAGTACATGTTCCGGGTGAAGAACATGCCTGTTCTGGATGCAGTGCAGTTCCCCCCACTAGGGTGCCAATCTTCTATTGATACACCCATGATCTATGCAGATGCTTTCTGTATGGATATTGCCCTCACCAACCCCTCCACCTTATCAATGAGTGATTCTAGCTGTAGTGTAAGCGGAGGTAAATATGTTTTGAAAGTTAACATTTTCCTAAATTGAAAATGTATTTTCAATAATACTTAGCTCCACTCGCACTCTCCTACCCTTCCTTCGCATTAAGAGTCGGTGTTAGATACTGGGATGGAGTTAGTTTTGAATAAGTGATAATATTATCTGGATGAGTTGCTTATATACAGTACTGGGATAGAGGGTGCATTGATGTAGATGGAGAATACCACGAGATAAATATCACCAAGGGCAAATAAGTGGGGTATAAAAGAAAAAATCAGACCATTGCTTAGATGGGCAAAGGAAGAATGTCCTACACATGGTTCTCTGAGCCTCTGCAAGGTATGCAGAAAACTCTTTCTTTTTGTGGTAGATTCCAAGTGGTAAGGTAAGACATTATTGATCTTAAAAATCATAATTTTTAGACCCAAATACTGCTTAGTTACTAAGCCTGATAAAATATAGCGTAATTCTGTGGTATTTATATAGTAATTTATGATTTTTTGTATTCTCCATGTGCCAAATTTGATAAGGCTTAGCAAATTATGTCAAGCAGCAAATGAGTACAAAGACTGTAACTAGAAGAGATAATTGTTTTCTGTACTTCTTTATTTACTGTTCTATGTTTTAAGAAAAATAACTGAAATTTAAGAACTTATTTGTTAATAGTAATAATGTATATACATATATAATGTATTATAACTAAAATGTGACTTTGTTTAACAAAATACTAGTCCATTAGAACACAGCCAAAACATGTCACTTTATAAAGGCCAGTTTTATATTGGTGGATCCAATAACATAAATGCATGTGGGCCGCATCATTCAACTTGTGTAATGTTAGTCAGTAAAGTATAAATAATAAATTTTTATATATGTAAAATGTTATGAGATTTAAGCTATTTAGACTAAACATTTGTGGTTTTGTGTTTTTAATTTGTAGTAATTCTAGAACAAAAAAAGCATAAATTATATGTAATTCCTAATTTTTTTTGGTGTCTACAAGGTTGGTCAAATTGATCAAACCCTCACAAATACAGTATTGAAAATAACAGATGAGATATGAATTTTTTTCCCTAAAAAAAAGTTTTGATAATTATCTGGAGGATATTAGGAATTTATAGAGATTTTGCATATGAAATTTGACAATTTTCTGATGCATGAAAGTATTTTTAATTGTAAAATCAAAATTACTTTGCATGTTGGAGAGTCAACATTCGTAAATAAAAAATGCACAAGCAAATAATTAGTTAAAAAATGTTAAAACATAATTAAAAAATATAATACTTTGTGTACGAAAGTCTTGTAATGTTTACTGAAATCTTCAAAGTTTCCTGAAGGCATGTGTACATTTTAAAAAGTTACAGTATAACTGCTTTATGGTTACTTTCAGGAATACAGGCTGGATGGAATCCACCCATCTGTATTAGAAAGGTTAAGTCAGCATCTCCATAATCTTTAACCATAACTTGATGGTATCAGTAGTATACTAATTACAACAAAACTGTAATTTTCAGAAATTAATTGAGAATTAGTATTCAAGAGACTTAGGATTCACATATTTTCAGTATTAAAACTCATTTTCCACAATCTGTTTAATGCAGTAAGACTTTTCTGCCTGTATTTGATAAGAAAACATCCTCAACGAAATCGATTCTCCTGAGAATTTTTTCATCATTTATAAGTGTTATTGTGTAACAAAATAGCCATATAATCAACACAAGTAACATAAGTTCCCAAAACAAACTTATGAGCAATTCTTCTAGATTTAAGAATGATCATTAATCACACTCCCTTTTTTTTCTGTTACTAAGCCAATTTTTCATCCATATTTTCAATTTTCCATCAGTTCATCAAGTATTCAATGTACTAAGACACCTTGTCAAATATTTTTCTGAAATTTAATCTATACAACAACACATCACTCAGAATGTTCCCATACAAAAACTTCAATAAATTGGTATGGTAAGAAGACACTTTTTATAATACCCTGCTGAGGCTGACTAATTACATGTCAACATCTCAAATGTTTTTCTAAACAACTGACATTAGATTCTGACTAATTAAAGCTGAATGATTAATGAAATTTGATAATCGATTAATTGTTGGGCTCATTAATTTATTACATTCAACTAATTGATTATTCTCACATGACACTTGGATTGTCAGAATAACCAGGAAGAATTTGGTTAATTGATTATTTTTCTGAGTTGTGACATCAATCAAACTTAACAACCTTGAATTAATTTACAATAGTAATGAGAACTCAAAATGGCAATATTTTGATGACTTGGATAGTTTGAATAGTCAAAAGCAGTATTAATGGGAAACACTAATTTGGATTAGTTGATTATTTTACATGACATTAATCGATGTAAGCAGTGCTCATAGGTAATTGAGTTAATTGCTTAAATCATCTGCTAAATACAGAAGAGTATAATAGATCAGGTGAGGTGACAAGTTTGTTTCATAAATAATAACATGGAAAACTAAACAACAATAAGGCTTTAGGTAATAGTATGATACATGGAGAAACATTAAGTGTCTAATATTAGGAAAATGGGATATAAAACATTTCATATATAAATGTATATACAACTTACAGAAAATAAAGGGGCCATTTGACTTATAAAGGATGTCTTGACTCAGAACCTTCTTAAGCAGAAAACTAATCATTATATCTAGTTTATCCCTCAAATATTCATCAACCCTTTTATTAAAATCCTAAAAAATTGCAGCATCCATCACCCTATTGGAGAAATAAAACTGCTTCAACTTGAGATATGTTGGCCCTTTGTTGTTGTTATGCCCTCAAAATTAAACCCAAAAAAGAAAATCTGCTGCCTGAATATTATCATTTCCCTCAATTTCAAATACTTCAGTTAGATCACCTCTGACCATTTTAAAAAAAGAACAAGTTAAGAGATTTCCGTCTATGTTTGCAGATATAGAATGGTTAACATATTCTTTACTATCACTCTTCAGTTCTTTGAATATATTAATGTGACAACCCATTCATCCCCAGAATTCAGCCTAGTAGTCATCCTCTCGAACAACTTGATGTTCTTTGACAAGTCAGTGTATGGTTTTGATATTGTTGGAATTATATACCATATTGCAATAAAATAAAATAGCTTTTTTCAACAAATTAACATGAAAATAAAAATTAATACTTAAAGTACTTAATAAAATATAAATTGATTTTTCAAATGTAGCATAAACAATATCTAATTTTTCTTGCTTTCATATAAAATATTGTAAAACATTTTAGTCGTTAAATGATATTGAAAAATTGGTAAAAATTACAACTTTCTAACACAAAAAAGGCTTAATTGATGTGTAAATGTTTTTTATCTTAAACATATTAATGTACCATAGCAAATATGGTCTGACTTAGAGCTTGAGGAGATAGTGAATCCATATAAATTTACTTGAATTCTTAGCACTTTTAACTAGAAAAGAAATTTTATACTAACAATAAAGGTAAATGCACACTAATGTCAGGACACTTCACAAACTCTGAGTCTGAGGAAATTGTTGGTACCTGCACTACTGCATCAAAGGCACATTATCTTTAATAATGGCATCAACAATAATGCAGTGGAGAGAATGGTACTTTTTCTTATTGAAAGAAGAAACAGTACCATTATTATCAGTGCTATTAGTATTACTATTTTGAATATGAAATTTTTTTTCACAATTTGCATTATTATTATTATTGGTGCCATTTTTCTTTCTGGTTCCAAAAACCTAAGAAAAAAACAAAATTCATCCTTTGCAGTAATTTTTAAACATCATATTTTATTTTTCTTTTGTGAAAGGTGACACAGATCTGGTTTATGGGAAGTATATTATCTCTCCAGTTACTTTCCCTACAATCAAGGCATCTTTATATACATTTACAATTTAGAAAATCAAGTTGAAAATTTGAGGGCTTAAATCTTTTTAGTTTGTGAAAAATTGAAGTGCCAGTCATTGTAAGTATAATTTTTAACAGTATTTTTAAACAAGAAAAGTAATTACTTTTTTTGTACCTAAAAAACCTTACTGTGGTTGGATTATAACTTGGGAAGTTGGTACTTAACTTGTAGTATTTAAAAAAGTAATATTTATGGGTTGTTAATATTCTTAAAGGTTTTGACACATCTGATAGGGATGTTTATTTTTTAATTTGTATGAAAAAAAAAGTTTTCATTTCAGACTTTTAAGTGTCTAATGACATTTAAATGCAGACCTTTTATTTAAAATATATTCTTATTTGTGCACATAAGAAATATTAGCTGACAAATGTGTTTGTTCTAATGGTAGAATAACTTCAAGAATTTGTTGAAAAGATTAATGAATAAAAAAAAAAATTTGAAAGTTAATTTCTTAAAAGTGAAAACTTGGAAGTTATCTTTTTCCATTGCTGTCTTTCACCTTAAAGGAGCAAATACGAGAATGTCAATTGAAGAAGCAGAGAAATACCTCTGTGCAGTGGTTTTACTTAAAAGTGAATTCTTAATTACAAATATATATATATATACACACACACATAAATCCATGTATGCAATTTTATAACCATGTCTAACTCTAAATTTAATAATATCTAAAGCATT